AGTGCTTGATAATTAAGCCCATGGGACAAACTGAATTCCTCTCAAAGCATAAACATTTGTTACAGATTGCTGTAAAGTATATAATAAAAAAATAAGTTTTTACTTAATTTAATGTTTTTTAATAAGGATACAACTTAATTTTTACATTTTTTAGGATTATGAAATTTAAAATTTAAAAGACATAGTTTTTTTTAAAAAATTCATTTTAATTAAAGGTCACAGTGACCTTGAAATAGGCCGCAACACACCTTCTACTTTAGATGTATACTTTTGCTAAGTATGAAAGCTCTAGGTCTAATAGTTTTCTAGTTATGAGCCGGACAGGATTTTTCCATATATTGCTATAGCATCTTTGTTGCAAATATATAAAAATTGAAATTTAATTTTTTTTTTTAAATGAACACATATATAATTAGTTTTAATCATATTATACAATACTAATTTAGTTTTAATCATACACTAAAACATCAATTTGTTTTAATTTCATTACACCTATATTGAAAGATCTTTATCTTGACTAGCCATCAAGAACTCTTAATTAGCACAAGCAACTATGAGGCCATTTCGTTTTGCACAACTCCCAAGAGATGAATTAAGATAACTACTGCACCAGATCTAGAGGTGCTCTTAGCTCCTGACAATAAACTCATTAATTTCTCTCTAATTTGACATGCAAATTTCTGCTATCAAAATTCTTCTTGACCAGTGCTTGATAATTAAGCCCATGGGGCAAACTGAATTCCTCTCAAAGCACAAACATTTGTTACAGATTGCTGTAAAGTATATAAAGAAAAAACAAGTTTTTACTTAATTTAACATTTTTTAATAAGCATACAACTATATTTTTACATTTTTTAGGACTATGAAATTTAGAATTTAAAAGACTTAGTATTTAAAAAAAAATCACTATAATTAAAGGTCACAGTGACCTTGAAATAGGCCGCGACACACCTTCTACTTTAGATGTATACTTTTGCCAAGTTTGAAAGCTCTACGTCTAATAGTTTTCTAGTTATGAGCCGGACAGGATTTTTCCATATTTGGCTATAGCATCTTTATTAAAGGTCAGAGCGACCTACTTTTTGTGCCGTCTACCCAAGAAGTATGAGTTAACAAAGTTTGATAATCCTAGGCCTAATAGTATTCAAGTTATGAGCCGGACAGGAATGGACAGGAATGGACAGACGGACAGACGGACGGGCGGACACGAAGCCTATAACATAATTTATCTTGCAACTACCCCTGCATTGACCTAATAAAGGTAACCTAATAAACCAAAGCTTTATCCCGTCACTGCCCTAATAAAGCCTCGTGCATGTATTCCGACGTTCCAAAAGCATTGTGACGTCATGTATATTGCAATGTTTACGCCATGGCGTCATAGTTTCAACTGCAGAGATGTGCTTAAATCTGTCGGAATTAGCTTGTTTTGGACATTCAAATGTAAAAAATTTGCTGCAGGATATAAAACAAAATACATGATAACTGTCTTGAAATGTAAGCTATATTTGGTCGGGTAAAAAAAGTGAGAGGGCTCAGCAAGCCTCGCCCTCTATCATGTTTTCTTACCCTCGCCAAATATTGCTTATATTTCAAGAATGTAACCATGTATTTTATATACGTCCCGTCTTAAGACGGGCGTATAAAAACCGATACACAGAATTATGTATCTTAGTGTAGTCTACTTGTGTGTCAAGTTATATTAAAATCAGACCAAAACTGTAGGAGGAGTAACATTTTGAAAGAATTTCTAAGAAATTTCTATTTTTAGTAACCACGGCAACACCATTCATCGAAATCAAAAACCGATAAACAGAATTATGTATCTTAGTGTAGTCTACTTGTGTGCCAGGTTATATTGAAATCAGACCAGAACTGTAGGAGGAGTAGCATTTTGAAAGAATTTCTAAGAAATTTCTATTTTTAGTAACCACGGCAATATCGTTCATTGAAATCAAAAACCGATATACAGAATTATGTATCTTAGTGTAGTCTACTTGTGTGCCAAGTTATATTGAAATCTGACCAAAACTGTAGGAGGAGTAGCATTTTGAAAGATTGTTTACAGACAGACAGACGGACGGACGACGGACGCATTACTATCGCATAAGCTCTTCTGGTCTCTGACCAGTAGAGCTAAAAAATCATAATCTACAGGAAACATTTTTATTAGTGTCTGAAAAAAAATAATTTACTAAATAAAATGAAATCAAAAAAAAAATATATCAATCCTCTTTCAAGCCATATTATGTTTGATACCCCCCCCCCCTCCCTATAGAAGGCGATACTTATGCGAATTTATGTGGCTTTAAATTGTGCTTTCGTAAAAAAAAAAAAAATTATAATTCAGGGATACATACTTATTTATTTTTGTCTGAAAAGGGATAATTTACGAAGTAAAGTTCTTTGTAATCAGTGTTGTGGTGAAACCTGGAAGATGAGTTTGCTGGATGTCTGTTGAGTGATTTAATACACTTGATGTGGTCAGAATTAAATAATTCGAAAGGTGTGTTAAACCCCCCCCCCCCCTGTTTCTCCGGTTGTGACCCAATATTTTTTTAGACAGGTGTGAACTATGAACTGACCAAAAGAATGTTTCAAATCACAGGAGAAATTCTTCCTGCGTAAACAGACTTTCAGGGTCACCTAGCGTCATGCCATTTTGATTGACAGGTGATGCACAAGGATTTCATGCAGCAGCATGCATGTACAGAGAACGGATTATTCATTGCACAATAGTTATAAATGGGTTGATTAAATAGCATCATAGACTGATTAATTGTGACTTTGGCGATGTAAATAAAACGAAAGAATGAGATTAAATACAAATTTGTTTTTTTGTTTTTTTTTTTTTACAGATAATGCACATGTATTAAGGGTTTGCATCTCTCTCTCTCTATCCTCTCTCTCTCTCTAACGACATTGTTTTTACAGACTTTACAAGAATAGAATAACTTAATAAAATAAAGAAAAATGTCTAAAAATAATTACTTAATACACTGAAAGGATTATTGAAAACATAAATACTTGTAAGTGAAAAGAATGTTTTTGTTACGAGAAAGCGCTCGGAAGTTATTGTTTTAATTTCGTGTGCCTGCTGCTGATTTTTGTATTTATTTTGTTTTAATACTGATATTTCTCTTCTGAAGCAAACGTTTAAGTGATAGATCTACAATTTCAAAAAAAAAAACAATTTACATATCTAATTACTTGGAATAAAATGAAGCAGGAATAGTCATATTTATTTTTATAGATCAATCAATTAAAAATAATTTTTATATGAGCAAAGCGTTATATGTATAGAACAAGTATATACCCGGTATATATTAAATCCTTTTAATTATGTTATAACTTTATTTTAAAGTGAAAAAATATTTCATTTAATTTTTTTTCCTTTTTCAAATGAAGGGTCGGCATACGTAAAAATTAAATACGGAAATATTTACGAATTCTATGTATATTAATACATATCTGTACATAATGCCAAAGACATCGGTGGGATGATGTTTTTTCTTCCTTTTCTTATTTTTTTTTTCATTTTTCCTCCATCACCGCTGTAGTGTAAAATGTTTAAATCGAAACCGAGAAATTAATTTGTTAATAGCTGAAATATAACTATACATGCATTACGTACTTCAAAAGTAATTTAAAATGAATAAATTTTTAGCAGCCAATCAAGAATTAAAGCTAACAGGCTCCGCCCACTTTATTTGCATACCGTTTCTCAAAGCGTACCGTTCACAAAACGAACTGTTCCGTGCAAGAAACGAAACGTACCGTCCACAAAGCGTACTGTTCCGTGCACAAAGCGAACCGTTCCGTGCACAAAGCGTACCGTTCCATGCACAAAGCGTACCGTACCGTGCACAAAGCATACCGTACCGTTCTCGAAACGAACTGTTCCTTTCACAAAGCGTACCGGTCCGTGCACAAAGCGTACCGAACCTTACCGTTCAAGTGGTGTAGTAGCACGGTTTAGGGTCTGTAACTGTGTCTCGATACAAGCCCTCACCACAGTTAGAATACGTCCCATATACTTGCAATGTAGCAAATCGGAGCGGATCCGCTCCAAAACGATTTTGAAGAATATAAAAGGATTTGCACTGGAAAAAACTACCAAATTAATCAAAACAAACCTTTCTGAGATTGTTTATGCCTTTTATCCCAGAAAATAATTCATCTAAAGACGAAAATCAAATTAATTTTCCCAACATTTTTCTCTCGCTTCAAATTTACCTGCCATGTTTACATTCGGAACTCTCTAGATTGTTCGTAGTAAATGCACTGAGTTATAGTGAGTACGAGTTATTGCCCACATTTCTTTTGCTACATTACGAATACATGGAACTAATTCTTTCGTTAAACCGGGTCCGTAGGACAGTATCATTTTAATGATAGATTGTTCTATCTATTCCACTCCACTCCATGGAATTAAACACAACCAATTTTGTCCCCCGTTTGGTCAGTAAAATTTGTTACCGATATGGTAAATTGTCTACCAAACGGGGGATAATGTACCATTTGGTAGGTTGTGCCCAACCTGATGAAAGGAAAGACATCAGCAAATGCTGATAATAAATATTTCACTATTTCTTACATCAGTGACTATGATTGGTACGGCGTTTTTGTACTGGCAGGTACAGCTTTGAAATAGTTACTTTATTATTTAGAATGACAATAGTGAATTTATCCCTCTGGTTTAGGTCCAATATTGATAAAATAGAGGAATTTCGAATTAAATGAAATTAACAAGTATCTTTTTCAACAAAGTTATGAATATAATAACATCATTCATATGCCACAGAATAAGTGAAATGATTATATCTCGATTTTAATAATAGAGTTTTAAATTATTTTCATCGCAGGCACAGTTTCTGTCAAAAAATGAATGAGATTCCAATATTGACTTACCCGCCATTTTTATGAGTTCCGAAAGTATTGCTTTTCGAAACTCCTCTAAGATTTAGGATCGTTGTCATTAAATTGACCTTGACACGTCTGCTGCGATCACGGAATTCGAAAAGAGGATAACCAATCATAAGAATCTGAGGGCATGATCTTTTCTGTAAGCGAGACATGGCGGCTAATGGCAAAGACGTGAGTGGTCGCGAGTTTCATGTTTTGCAGGAATATATGTGCAGATTATTAAATCTACCCGTGAGAGTGAAACGGCAAAGATATCAAATGTAGTTTGATCTGAAATATAAATATTAAATTATCAAACAGCACTACGTTCACTGTAATCTTAATTTATTTTCAGCATCCCTTTGAAATTGTTTCCAAAGTTTGGCCCATCAAAACTGCAAAATGTGAACACAGAAAGGTGAGATGGAAATAATTCTTTTACATTCAAATTGTATATTTTTCGTGTCGATTTATTTTTTTCTTCTAGTTTGCATGTTATTCATATGATGTGTTGAACTTGAAGGGCATGACTTGTTACCTTGAAAGAGTTGTTTCCCGTTGGTAAACAAAACTTGTCTCAGTTCAGTTCAACAAATTTTAAAACTCAATATGAAGAAAAGAATTTAATTTTTAAATTAAATTTTAGGTGGAAGTTTTTAATCGAGCAGATCCAGAGCAACTGAAGGAAATATTTTTGAAAGTAAGGAAGAACTTAAAAAGTTTTACAGTCTATTGTTAAATTATTGTCTTATGCATTCGAATATCAGTTTAATGATAGAATTTGTTCTTCATATATAGTGTAACATTCGCAAATAAGTTTCAAATGCCTAGGTGGTGTGTAAATTTGAAGTGAAAAAAAATCCCATCCTGGTACTGTCATACCTACACAAAATTTACATTTTCTTGATGGCAATTCTTTTACTTTGGCAGTATGCCAGTGTTGTGGAGGATGGAGAACATTATATGACCTATAGAGATCTTATTCAGAAGTACTTAAACTTTCTGGGCGAGAATTGCGATGAGTTCACCCTCAAATTATTTGCTTCCAGCGTAGACACTTCTAGAGATGGGTAGGTATTGACAATTGTACATCTATTGATAATAATAAAAAAGTTTGGTGTATAAAATTCATTCCTTTCATCACTTGCTGTATAAAGAAGTGGTTCTTGTTACTGATAAATATTTGATTAAACTTTATGATCAGTTGTAAAGGATTGAATTTTTAACCACATATTCAAAATGAAAAAAAATCAGATCCTTTTTGCTCCCTTTGGTTAAAAAAGGTGCAAAGAGGATCTGATTTTAATTAGATTGAACACATTAAATGGCTGCATTTGATAGCTAGACACTCAACGACAATATACAGTTTGTGTTATATATCTATAAATTTCTTGATAGGATATTTTGGACTATTTTGCAGGAAGATTTCGTTTACAGAGTTCCAGGCTTTTGAGGCTGTACTGTGCCTGCCTGATGCCATGTATGCTCTGGCCTTCCAGGTGTTTGACAGAAATGGAAATGGGTATCTCTCCTGCGGTGAGTGTTCTGCTAGGTTATGATGTAACAGTGATTCTGAGGTCAAGGTGGCATTAGCTTAAAATATTTGCATCACAACTGCAAGTAAATTATAGTATTGCTACATGTTTTATTGAAATTGTGATTAAAGTAGTGTGGCATATATTTTTTTCAAAAATGAAATAAAATTAAATATTTTGGGGTCATATATTGTGTTTTAGCAATTATTGGTTTGTTTAGCCTTTTTTATACATGTTATATAACAATGTATTTTGTTTTGTAGATGAATTTGAAGATATCATAAAACACACAACACTGAACAGGGAAATACCATTTAACTTCAGTAGCGAGTTTATAAAACTTCACTTTGGGAAAGACAAGCAAAGAAAAATTACATATCCAGAGTTTACACAGTTAATTCATGTAAGTATATTATCTGCTTTTAATTCCTATTATAGAGATAATTGTAATTTATCGTCTAGACAGGGATTTATCTAGCTATTTTGTTTTACTACCGTTTTATATGTAAAGGGGAAAAATGAGAGCCGCAGGCTCGATCTGAGCGCCGGAGGCGCGAGTATTCTAGGGGGGTCCGGGGGCATGCCCCCCCCGGAAAATTTTTAAATAAATGGAGCAAAATCCTGCATTCTTAGAGCTTCTGAGGGTCATTTGTAGACCTTTACAAAGGCCACAAAAACTTCACTTTTTAGGCAAAATACTAAATAACACACACAAAAAAAAATTAACCAGGTCAGGACTTTATTTAATTTTTTCTCTAAATATCTATCACAAATCAATTCTGTTTTTCATGTTTCACTACTAACATTGTTTTTGTTGTTACTCCATTCTTCCAATTCATAGTGATATAAGCTCCATCTTACTCATCTACACTTTTCTTTTTAACTCTGCAATCGCACGCGTATCTTTCGACATCATGGACTTGGCACATGTTTACCGATCAATATCAAATAAAAGCTTGAATAATATATTCTTTCTTCAATCGGAGTTCCTCGGATGACTCGTACCTCGCACATAACCTCGGACGTCAACGGTGATCTTCCATCTTGCTGATTCAGTCATGTGATCTTATTTGAATTTCATTCAAATATTATACTTTTGAAATCCGAGTTACTTTGATGCACGCCCAACACTGTGTTCTTGCTTTAAAAGAATACTAACACTTGATTGTAATTAATACGAGGAATTACACTAATAAAGAAACCTTTTCTAAGAACTCTAGGCAGAGCGAAATATGAAATGAGTGACAAGGCAGTTTCCGGCGGATAAATGTAGCGATCTTTTGCGTATTCCTCCACCTATCACATCCGAGGTTTGAATGGAGCGTAGTGGAGTCAGCCGAGGATTACCGATTGTTCTTTCTTTTAAAAGCGTTTGAATGACTAGGATGGTAAATTAGGTTATGCTGTTAAACTTCAATCGGACAAAAATGGAGATTTTCAGAATGATGTTTTAAATATTCTCCGTTTAATTGGGGGCATTTTCTATCTGAAAAAGGGGAATTTTTGCACCTTTTTCAAGAGGGGAAAGGTACCGTTTACCGGTAGTAAAAACAGCTTGATAAATCCCTGCTAGATGACAAGATTCTATGAAATATCTCTTTATTTATAAGGATTTTCATGAGGAACACGCTTTACAAGCTTTTCGGAGGCGAGATAAAGGAGACACAGGCTACATCAATGCTAAGGACTTTGAGGAAATCATGTGCAAATTAAAAAGTTACCTCTTGACCCCATTTGTCAAAGAAAACCTGGTCACAGTAAGTAATCTGCCCCCAGTAGTATACTGTATTTCATCAGCATCCTGATGACTATGCATCAGTTCAACAATTATTTTTGCAATGCATAGCTTTAGGGAACACACAAAGTTTTCAATTTTGTGAGGATTTTAAATTTTTTGTAGAGCAAGGTCTTTTTAGTGACATCATAAAAAGAATTTTATGTGCACATTCAGAAGCTTGATTTATTATTATCACAAGAAAAAAAAGCTTACATCATGTTAAGTCCACATTTATAAGATAGGTTATTGTTTTGTAGGTGGCGATGGGAGGGGGACACAGACAGATCAGTTACTCCTACTTTACTGCTTTCGTGTCCTTATTAAACAACCTAGAGCTGGTCCAGAAGGTTTACCTGGCCTGTACACGACGTGACAAAACTATGGAGGTTACCAAAGGTATGATAGGGCTGTGTGTGGGAGGGTTATGCACGAACATTCAAGATAAAACTCTGCATAGTAAATGGTATCAAGTCTGTGTTTGTATGCATAATTTAAAAAGGCTGTGAATAAAGCATAGGGAGTGAACATGAAGTTATTTCGGATTTTCCATATGCATGTACATGTACTGTAATATGTAAAGTTTTTTTTTTCTCAATTGAGATACGTACATGTAAGATGTACAGATTGATGCACAGTCTGTGTAAACAGAAAGTGATAAGCAGTAGATTGAGTCATGTCTATTTTTAATTAGAGGAGATGTTGTACCAAGCCCAGGAATTTGCTCAAATTACACCGCTCGAGATTGACATCTTGTTCCAGCTCGTTGGACTGAAGCATCAGACGGGGTAAACATGGGACAGTCTTTTGTTATAATGCATAGTCAAATCAAGACACAACATGCACTTATTTTTCACATTCAGCTGAAATGCTGCATTTTAATTCTATAAAACAAAACAAAAAAAAATAACAAATGCAAGACCAGAAGCATTTATCAAGAAGTGCCCAAAAAATATAAATAATAATTTGAAAATATCTAATTATAAAAAAAAAAGTAAATTTTAAGATCATTGATAAATTTTGCTATTCATAATAAAGAAGACTTATTGAATACTTGTGCCTACAGGAGGGTAACTTTTGAAGACATCACAGACTTGTCCCCAGCGGAAGGGAGGGAGACACCATATTCTATTCAAATGAGGATAGCACAGGTAAATACTGATGATTCCGTAATGTGTCTTATTGTTAAGAAATATATGTAAGGAAAAGAAACATACTTGACATGTTAACTGTGTTGAGCAAATAATGTATTTTGTTGCAATTTATAAAATCTGTCAGAGATGCTATGGTTAGGGTTCACGTAATGTGTTAAATGTCTTAGGATGTCAAATTCTCCTTCTGTTTCTTCATTGTTCTTCAGTGGAGTAGTATTACTTCACAGCTATGAAAGAAAAAAGAGAAAAAATCAGAAAAGTCACTTTCTAAAGAAAGTTTGGGTATATTGGTATTCTTTTTCATTTTTCAAATAAATATTCACAGATCTAGAAGTGAATAGGATAGGACAGCAGGCTCAGCTGTTTTAGCCCTCTCCCTATGTATTGATATCCTTGTGTTTCTATATAACTGTCACATATTGTCACTGCTCTGTTCGCCATTCCTTTTAGAATAGGATTGGCCTAGTGATATAGCCAGGAATAAGGTTTTGGTTTATGTTCTCCAAAGGGTGCGAGTCTTAGGCACGATTTTTCTTCAATATATGAGGAAGTGTTTTCTTCAGTTTGGGGAGAAATGATTTAATAATTTTATGGAATAATTTTCCTTAGATAGTATAATGTATATTTTAATGATGGTTTTGGATATGCATGTTCTTTTCAAAGTGAGTAAATAGGTTAAGTGCTTTTCTTGTAGTAGTCCTTTTAATATCATTAATATTGTAAAAGAACATGTTTTAATTTTAAACTGTATGTAATTATTTTTGTGGGGCATAAATAGGAAAACTTGAAGGTATGGTATTCACACTTTTATAATCAAAGCTTTTCTCAGCTTGCTTTTTTTATGTCCTTTAAACTGGAAAGAATTTATCTTAAAAAAATCTTGTCCAATTTTTGAAGCCTCCACTGTCAACTACATTTTCAACCAATTCTGATTGGCATCATTGATAAAAATACATAACTTGTGTCTACTGCTAACAGAAACAAAACAGTTTCCCAACATCTGACTTGTGTACAAAATCCTTTCTCTATAAACAATTGACTGAAGTATGCACCGGATAACTTTAAATGTGGGAAGTGCATGGTTGTTGTTCCTTTGAGTTTAATATTTAATCTACCCCTGGTTATTTCTAAGACGAAATTTAGACAGTCCACACACTAAAATGTGTTTACAAAGCACAGAGGTAAAAAGGTCAGATTAGAAAAACTTTTAGTTGCACTATCTTGTATGGTTCTGAAAATCTATATATAAGAGTTGTTTATGTAAATCTGTATTGTTAACAGGTCAAACTACCACATCTACATGTATACTGTAGAGGAACTAATTTAGTCCATACTCTAAAAAATATTTGAAAAAAAAATATAGAAGCACACTGGAAAAATACATGTAGGTACACTTTAAGGTCATATTAGAAAGACTTGATCAGTTGCAGGATCGATGTATGGGCAATCTATATATCTATATATCTGATGTTGTTAAATGTGCATTTCTATACTGTAGACAAACTCGGTACAAACTTACCAGCTGGTCAAAACATACATTCTTGTATATATACAGTGTATAGGCATAGTTTATGTACCAGTATTAAATCTATCGCATGATATCATCACACATGTAAATTGTAATAGATAAAAGTTTGATTTAGTTTATAATATTTTTATTTACAATTTTGATTTACTTTGGCATGTGATTCTCACTAAAGCTCTTACGTACTGCAAGCTCCTAATTGTTTTTACTGCTGTGTTGTTTAAAGTCAAACAGGTGTAGTTTTGAAGTAATTCAACTTAAATGAGAAAATGATTCAAATCTAACACATTCTTGTATTTAATTAAACTAAAAATGGGTCAGTTTCCTCCTGTATCTTACTGTATTGACTTTCTGTTGAAGATCTTGGAAATAAACTGTACTTAGTACATGTATATGTACTTAGTGATGGATGCAACAGCTTTAGCTTTCCAAATCTCTTTTTATTCATTAAACATGTTCACATGGTCAGGCCTAGGTATGCCTTTGCCAGTAGGTGTTAAATTAAATGTAGAAGAAAGAAATTGCTTTTGTTACATACAGTAGTAATGTATTACTCAAAAGAATGTGCATATTAAGTATTAAAGAGTATTTAAATTAGATGTTCATGTACATGTGCACATTACGTTTTTAATTGTATCTGTATATCCAAAATATGTATTGCAGCAATATTACTTACTGTAAATGTATACTATTTAGCATGTATATCATTATGCAGGGATTGATTTTTGAATAGGATAGAGTAGATTTGATTTAACATATTTCTTCATATTCCTATGTCTATATGCACAAGACAATTTAGCATTGTACTTGATTTAGTGGTTGCTGTGTTCCGCCAAAGCTGCTAAAAAGAAAACCCGGTACACAGCCAAATATAATCTGGTTACATTATTCCCCAGCTACTGGAGATTTAGGGATTTAAAAGTTTTTAGCTCACCTGAGCCGAAGGCTCAAGTGAGCTTTTCTGATCACATTTTGTCCGTCGTCCGTCCGTCTGTCTGTCCGTCTGTCTGTAAACTTTTCACATTTTCGACTTCTTCTCAAGAACCACTGGGCCAATTTTGACCAAACTTGGTACAAAGCATCCTTGGGTGAAGGGGAATTTAAATTGTTAAAATGAAGGGACATATCCCCTCGCAAGGGGAGATAATCAAGAAAAGACAAAAATAGGTTGGGTTGGGTCATTAAAAAATCTTCTTCTCAAGAACCACTGGGCCAGTAAAGCTGAAACTTATGTGGAAGCATCCTGGGGTAGTGTAGATTCTAAATTGTTCAAATCATGACCCCCGGGGGAAGGGCGGGGCCACAATGGGGAATCAAAGTTTTATATAGAAATATATAGGAAAAATCTTTGAAAATCTTCTTCTCAAGAACCACTGGGCCAGAAAAGCTGAAACTGATGTGGAAGCATCCTGGTATAGTGTAGATTCTAAATTGTTCACACCATGACCCCTGGGGGAAGGGCGGGGCCACAATGGGAAATCAAAGTTTTACATAGAAATATATAGGAAAAATCTTTGAAAATCTTCTTCTCAAGAACCACTGGGCCAGAAAAGCTGAAACTTATGTGGAAGCATTCTGGTATAGTGTAGATTCTAAATTGTTCACATCATGACCCCTGGGGGAAGGGCGGGGCCACAATGGGGAATCAAAGTTTTACATAGAAATATATAGGAAAAATCTTTGAAAATCTTCTTCTCAAGAACCACTGGACCAGAAAAGCTGAAACTTATGTGGAAGCATTCTGGTATTATGTAGATTCTAAATTGTTCAAATAATGACCCCCGGGGGAAGGGCGGGGCCACAATGGGGAATCAAAGTTTTATATAGAAATATATAGGAAAAATCTTTGAAAATCTTCTTCTCAAGAACCACTGGGCCAGAAAAGCTGAAACTTATGTGGAAGCATCCTGGTATAGTGTAGATTCTAAATTGTTCACATCATGACCCCTGGGGGAAGGGCGGGGCCACAATGGGAAATCAAAGTTTTACATAGAAATATATAGGAAAAATCTTTGAAAATCTTCTTCTCAAGAACCACTGGGCCAGAAAAGCTGAAACTTATGTGGAAGCATTCTGGTATAGTGTATATTCTAAATTGTTCACATCATGACCCCTGGGGGAAGGGCGGGGCCACAATGGGGAATCAAAGTTTTACATAGAAATATATAGGAAAAATCTTTGAAAATCTTCTTCTCAAGAACCACTGGACCAGAAAAGCTGAAACTGATGTGGAAGCATTCTGGTATTATGTAGATTCTAAATTGTTCAAATAATGCCCCCGGGGGGAAGGGCGGGGCCACAATGGGGAATCAAAGTTTTATATAGAAATATATAGGAAAAATCTTTGAAAATCTTCTTTTCAAGAACCACTGGGCCAGAAAAGCTGAAACTTATGTGGAAGCATCCTGGTATAGTGTAGATTCTAAATTGTTCACATCATGACCCCTGGGGGAAGGGCGGGGCCACAATGGGGAATCAAAGTTTTGCATAGAAATATATAGGAAAAATCTTTGAAAATCTTCTTCTCAAGAACCACTGGGCCAGAAAAGCTGAAACTTATGTGGAAGCATTCTGGTATAATGTAGATTCTAAATTGTTAACATCATGACCCCTGGGGGAAGGGCGCGGCCACAATGGGAAATCAAAGTTTTTCATAGAAATATATAGGAAAAATCTTTGAAAATCTTCTTCTCAAGAACCACTGGGCCAGAAAAGCTGAAACTTATGTGGAAGCATTCTGGTATTATGTAGATTCTAAATTGTTCAAAAAATGACCCCCGGGGGAAGGGCGGGGCCACAATGGGGAATCAAAGTTTTATATAGAAATATATAGGAAAAATCTTTGAAAATCTTCTTCTCAAGAACCACTGGGCCAGAAAAAGTGAAGCTTATGTGGAAGCATTCTGGGGTAGTGTAAATTCTGAATTGTAGGAATCATGACCCCTGGGGGAAGGGCGGGGCCATTATAGGGAATCAAAGTTTTACATAGAAATATATAAGAAAAATCTTTGAAAATCTTCTTCTCAGGAACCACTGGGCCAAAAAAGCTGAAACATATGTGCCCATGGAAGGATCATGGGGCAGTGTAGATTTCAGAATTGTCTTAATTATGATCAGTTGGGTAGGGTGGGGATGCATTATGTATAACAAGGTAGAAATCTGGTAAAGAACAGAATGGTCAAAGCTTCTCAGGTGAGCGATGTGGCCCATGGGCCTCTTGTTGGTCTGTCTCCCCCCCCCCCCCCCCCCCCCCCCAAATCTTCAAACATTGGCCATCACCATAAGGGTAGTGTTCTAGGGATTTTTTTTCCACCTGTGTATTTTTTGTGACAAGACATATCTGGGTTTTAACATTTTTTGACCTCATTACCTTTGATTTTTACCAGATTTGAAAGACTTAGACCATGGTCATGGGCTATCCTACTGCCAACAGGGACATCAGTGATTCACAAATTTTACATTTTGTTTATAGACATGTGTTTCATGTACTAGTGATTTATTATGTAGAAAAAGGGACACTTATCTGAGAGGGGACTTTGAAAAAATAATTAAATGAATACTTGTAAACATATATATATTTCCTTGGCTTTTGAACATTTTATCTAGACAGTCAGCATTCCCAGCTGTTAAACATGCTGATAGTAGAACCATAATTATTTGCCTATAAGCTGGTTTGCTTATGACAGTGTTTCTAGTACTAAATAACATGCTGATAAATTTATTTTTGATAATAGAACAATATATACATGATATACTTGCCTATACGTGTAGATTGATTTGCTTATAAGTTGGTTTTATATGTATTTTTTCTAGATTATTTTGGAGGAATTTGCCAAAGATCTGCTTATCAGTTTGTAGAGTTTTTTGCTAAAATCTGTTACCAATGTTAGATTAATAATTTATCGTATTTATCCATGTTTCAAAGAATGCTTTGGATATTACATCTATATACATGTATAATCATTTATGTTAACACCACACTGTATTTTTAGCTCTACTGGTCAGAGACCAGAAGAGCTTATGCGATAGTAATGCGTCCGGCGTCCGTCCGTCTGTCTGTCCGTCTGTCTGTCTGTCTGTAAACAATTTTTCAAAATGCTACTCCTCCTACAGTTTTGATCTGATTTCAATATAACTTGGCATATAAGTAGATTACACTAAGATACATAATTCTGTGTATCGGTTTTTGATTTCGACGAACGGTGTTGGCGTTGTTACTAAAAATAGAAATTTCTGTGAAATTCTTTCAAAATGCTACTCCTCCTACAGTTTTGGTCTGACTTCAATATAACTTGGCACACAAGTAGACTACACTAAGATACATAATTCTGTGTATCGGTTTTTGATTTCAACGAACGATGTTGGCGTTGTTACTAAAAATAGAAATTTCTGTGAAATTCTTTCAAAATGCTATTCCTCCTACAGTTTTGGTATGATTTCAGTATAACTTGGCAAACAAATAGACTACACTAAGTTACATAATTCTGTATATCGGTTTTTGATTTCGACGAACGATGTTGGTGTTGTTACTAAAAATAGAAATTTCTGTGAAATTCTTTCCAAATGCTACTCCTCCTACAGTTTTGGTCTGATTTCAATACAACTTGGCACACAAGTAGACTACACTAAGATACATAATTCTGTGTATCAGTTTTTGATTTCAACGAACGGTGTTGGCATTGTTACTAAAAATAGAAATTTCTGTGAAATTCTTTCAAAATGCTACTCCTCCTACAAATTTAGTCTGATTTCAATATAACTTGGCACACAAGTAGACTACACTAAGATACATAATTCTTTGTATCCGTTTTTGACTTCAATGAACATTATTACCTTGGTTAATAAAGATAGCAATTTCTGTTACTCTCAAATTTGCTACTTCAAATACAGTTTTAGTCTGATTATAATATAATGTGGCTTGCAAGTAGACTACACTAAGAACATAAAGAGACTTATTCAAGGATCATTATTCTCTTTTTTGCCTGTGCAAATTTTCAATTCCCAACTGCTTAAGTACTTTCCTCTTCCTTTGCTATAAGTACAAACCAGTAGAGCTTCAGTCTCGACAGAGACTTCTGGTTCCATTACTTTTAAGTCTTGAATTGAATGAATTTATTCAATTGGTATACACTGCTAAGCATATCACCTGTGCAGATCTCTTTAGCAGTTGGCTTTTCCATCAATGAAACATACAATATCTTACACAATATTACAATATTTCATCTTCTTTATCATACTTTAGATAATAAGTGGCACAGATAAAATACTTGTATAAAAAATGTCTTTATTAGTTTGTTAGTATGGGAAGCAACATTCCAGCTATTGAAGAAAAAGTGACATAAACATGCGAAATGCAGGATATTTATTTTTTCTGCAACAGCTGCTAAATTAATTTCCATACTAACAACCAAAGAAAGCATTTTATTGTTTAAATTACATTAATTTAAACAAATATTTAATCATTAATTGCAGTAAATCACTTGAATTTCATGCATATGGAAACCTTATGATAATCCTTTTCCTGCATTCAATGAAATTCTGATCGTTATAACATGATTATCAGAAAATTGTTTAAAATTCTGCTAATAGAAATTAACGATTTTTGTAGAACTCGCTTATAAGTCAACCATAGAGTTAAGATCGTAAAAATTAAATCCGAAAAACACTGACTTATTGGCAGGTTTAAACCGAAACTGAGTTCACCCGAGTTGACCAACCTGATTGTTTAAGAAGTGAATATACCAATGTATGTTTTCCACCAATAAAAAAATTGTTGATATACTGGTACCAATACAGTGCATCATACTTTACTTAATGGTTTCTCAACTTACTTTAGATACTAGGATATGACACTGTTATGTTCAACATAAAATTTTACATGCTTTCAGAAATACTGGATGTTTTAATGAAAGTTGGAGAACAGATTAAACACCATTTGAAACTATAAGCTTGGATGAATATTTTTAATTTGAAATTTAACTTCTATTAACTATATGTTTTCTCCTTTATGATGCAGTAAACTTGGACAATGTTTGGGTATACAGGGTTTTATAGCAGTTCAGTGATTTGCTTTGTACAGTGTATGTCAGTCTCCTATCATTAACTTTTGTCCACTGCAGGAGAAGTTAGCGTTGGAACAAGGAACAGAGAGGACCATTTTTCTGGAAGTCCTAGAGAGTGTCTACAGATTTACCCTGGGTTCTATCGCTGGAGGTGAACTATCTACCTTTTGTTTTAAATTATAGAGCTTTATGTTGCATAGTATATTTCCCTTATGTGTGAATTGACCAGCCAGTACCGGTACCTGGTACTTGTATTGATTCAATAAATTTGACCAGCATCTCTTATTCAGAGAAAGTACATGTACATGTGTAATTACTCTGAGAATATTTCATATGATCTCAATGTGAAATTTTTTCTTCAAAAGGTAAATCTTACAATTTATATACATTTGACTTTTGTGATTAATGTACTGGTTTATATCCACTGCATTCTGTAACATTAAAATTTCAGCTACCGGAGCGACAGCAGTGTACCCAATAGATCTGGTGAAGACTAGGATGCAGAACCAGAGAACAGGTCCGATGGTAGGGGAGTTAATGTACAAAAACAGCTGGGATTGCTTCAAAAAGGTGATCCGTCACGCAGGGAGTGCTGGGGTTATACCGAGGTCTGGGACCCCAGCTCGTAGGGGTGTGTCCAGAGAAGGCCATCAAACTTACGGTAAATGTCTAATATACAATAATATGGGTGAAGGTGGAATGTTGTAGAGTTTATTAACCATAATAGATGAATTGAATTTCATTTAGAAAGGTAGAAATACATGTAGAATGCCAAATTTCCAAATAAAAACTCACCAAATCTGAAAAATGTTTGTGAAAACATTTTATGGTTAGAATGAAGAAATATCTTTTCCCTCAGAAAAAGCAAAGACTTGCCAATAGACTATAAATTTAGTTGAGATTGACTGTATTTGCTATAAGATTGAAAATCTTAGATAAACACAATGTTGATGCTCCAGAGATCAATGTTTTTCACTTTCATTACAGATGAATGACTTGATGAAGAGAGAAAGCTGAACACGTAAAGATGGTTCTATTCCTCTTTGGGGCAGAAATGATTGCAGGAGGCACAGTAAGTTCATCAGAGACAAGTTATATGTATAAAATTCAAATATTTCTGATTTTGTAAAATGTTGTCTGATCATTTACTGGTAAATCCCATAACAAATATGTTTGGTTCATGTACATTAAGAAATAAAATCTTGTTTATTTGACAATTATATTAAGGGAATGAGCTGAAAAAATATTTTATTAAATATAGTCTTCAGTGTATACTTGAGAAACAAGGTAT